ACATGCACACATCTGCCATCAATTGACAGATTGCACACCTAACTTATAAAAATCGGTTCATGCCTCAAAACATCGTTTTTTTGAGTGAGACTGGATTCAAATGAATCCTAACTCATAAAAGAAAGTTKTAGAARAAGAATCATACATTAAGGACAAACAAGGAAAAAGATACTAGCATACAAATTAGAAGTTACCTACTGGTGGTTTCACAGTTTACACACCTATAGAGTTTTAGGTGGTTGGAGATCAAAACTCCATAATTTTATGTCATTCCACTTGAATGTAGGAGACAACCCATAAAATTTACTCTCAAAAGAAGAATCATTATTTTTCATTGAGTTATGAGAGAGATATGGTCGATGGAACATATACATACAAATCTGTCAGAATCGGATGCACATATATAATGTTTTGAGCATTTGGGGGGGTCAAAACTCAATGTTTTTGAGTGAGACCAATTGGATTACAACCCCAACTCAATAAATAAACTTTCAGAAGAAATCTCATAACATTTGAASATGTCATTTASARGATATAGACGATTTGTGCACATGCACATAATCTATCAGCACTCTAAAATGCCAATTTTAAGAATCAAACCCACATGCAACATGATTTTACCCATTGTCTTGAGTTCTAATGTTTGGGTCATAGATTACCACCATCATAAGAACATTTTTACATATTTTTGGTGTGTAACCTCTCCTTAGAACTTAGAATTTTCGGAGGTTAGAATATAGTAGATAAAAATACATAAAAAGTGGGTTTTTCCCCCAAAATTTGCAAGAAAAAAAATTGAGATGAAGTTGTTACCTTGATTTATGATGAGAGGGATGTAATTTCTTCAAATCCTTGCTATTTTGATGAAGAAATGGTGAAGAAATGGGCTGGAGATGATGGATGATGAAGATGGTTCTTTGAGAGCCTCTTGAGTTTTAGAGAGAAAAAGAGATAGAGAGTTTTCAAATTTTGAAATGAGAAAATGAATTGAAATTGGAGAAAGGATGCTATTTATATGTAGAATAAGGGAGGAAAAAGGGGGGAAAGGGGCTGGCCATGGGGCCCAAGCCCAACCTCAAAATAATATTTTTTTTAAACTGAAGCCCAAAATGCATAAAAATGCCATTTTCTCAATTTTGACATTTTTCTTCAAATTAAAAGTCCACGATGACTAAATTTATTTAAATAGAAAGGTTTTATATTTAAAACACTAAAACTTAGTGTTTTATATATATTGGGTATAAATTAGAGAGCATTTGGTACTGTATAGGATGTTTCAGATAATTTCGGCTCGAAACCGGACTTTCTAAGTAACTGCCGGAATCTCTTAAAAGTTTTTCGACTAAACTAACATAGCTATCTCCTAATCTTATAAATTACCTTCAATAACAGTAATATAATCTTAATAAGAGCTAACCTGGAAGTTCAAATTTGACAGTTGTCACAGTCTCCCCCTGGTAGAGAAATTTCGTCCCGAAATTTAATTACTGCTACTGTTAATGGATTTCTCCACAAACAAATGCGGATATTTGCCTTTCATGAAATCTTCTCGTTCCCAGGTGTACTCWGGGCCATGTTTCGCATTTTCAGCGGACCTTAATAATAGGGAGTTTACTGCGCCTCAAACGTTTAACTTCTAGGTCCAGTATCTCGATTGGTTCTTCAACGAAATGTCAYCGATCGMTAATCTGAACGTCATCCAGGGGCAACACTATTGTTTCATCCATTAGGCATTTCTTCAGATTCGACACATTTAATGTGTCATGGATGGTGCTTAGATTTCGTGGTAACTTCAACTTGTACGCCACTGGTCCGATTCTTTCGAGTATTTCGAATGGACCAATGTATCTGGGACCTAGTTTGCCTCTCTTCCTGAATCATACTAGTCCCTTCCATGGCGATACCTTTAAGAATACTTTATCCCCCATTTGGAATTCCAACGGCTTTCTCCGATTATCTGCATAACTCTTCTGACGGT